TTTCTATTTTAATAAACTAATTTATTTAGAAACTTCAGATGAAATTTAACTTTATACCACAGTAAAGTACATAACTAGGAGTTTGTTTTCTATTTGCTGCGATACATGAGAGTTCAGTTTCGATCCCTTTTAGTCAGAACTATTGAAGATTATCCTTTGTTGGTATTATGACCTTTCACAAACAGGGGATTAAAGGTGGTTTTTGTCCGACTTTATACAATTAATTTGCTAAAGTAAGCACAGCAGTTTATCATATGGTGATGATTGATGGTTTTAAAAATTCAACGCTTTATCTTATCAAATCCAAATAAGTAGAAAAAATATAGAACTACTACATTGATGCTGACTAACCGCGACTGCCGGAATCTTTTCCAAGTGAGAAGCATTAAACTCGATCAAAAATTTGCAAAGAAGCAATTCTTTTACGATATTGACAGAACTGTACACACTAATCAAAGTTTTAATTCCTACTTCAAAGGTAGAACGTTAAAATAGTAAATAAATACCAAGAATGTTAGTTTGAATTCTGTAACTGGCACAAAGATAACGGACATTTGTTTATTGTTATGTATACTCTCACGATTGAACTCACCATCTTTTCGTCCATATTTTACTCGTAATACTTTTAAGCCGGAAGTCCGTATGAAGTTAAATATGCAACTGTTTACTTTTTAAGAATTGTTAATTTTGAAATAATAATTGAAATAAGGTTTATATTATCTTTAGCTTTCGTTTATTTGGCTTAATCACATGTTATCATAACTTTCAAAATGTTTGGGTTTCGATCGACTCTCGAAAGTTAAATTATTGTTTCATGAATGTTCTGTTCTTTCAATGGGAACGTTTTTGTAACAGCTGAAACGTAAGATTTGTTTAAGAAATATGCATTCCATATTTCATCTTAAATGATCATTCAATATTTTATGTTTAACAAATGTGAATCGCCGTGAATGGAATGCTTATTATGTATCCAGCATTTGATTTTAATTTCCTGATTGGAGTAAAAATATTACATAGTCTCGTTTTCCTTGTTTAGTTTTCATTCTACCACTATGGTTGTGAACAAACAAAAAATATGATGGCTTGCTTAAAGCATCGTTTTCTAGAAAGAGTTACTGGTTGCAAATATAAGTTAAAGAAACTACTAAAACAAAGTTATTTTTAACAATAATATTTTTTGTGTGACTGAAAAAGATTTTAAGTCGTTACTGTAGTCCATATCTGTGTAAAACACAGTAATTTCAAAAAAGATTATCGGTGACTATAATTGCTTGTTTTTTTTTGTAATATAGGTTTTACAGCATTATAGTTGTGCCACTCAAATAAGACTCCAAAAGTAAATATTACCTAAGAATACTCAGTTATTTCGAAATCTAATTCTTTATGGTATAAATATGGGTATATAAAGGAGCTAATTCAAAATTTCCACAAAAGATCATTTTGTACACCAAGAAATCGGTGGCTTTTGTCGATAATAAAAGTTCTGATGGCCTGATTGTATGAGTTTGAGTTTTTATATTTAAACACGTTAGCTAACTATGTATGTTTAATTAACTAACAGTTAGTCGCAAACATGTTAAACACTTTCATTAATATTTCGTAGCATTTGAAAGCGTTACTGAGGAGCCTCGCATATTAATATTTGAATTTTATGAGAATCTGAAGCACATAAAAATATGAATTTTAAGTGACATAAAAAGTCGCAGCCGATTCAATTAAAGATCAGTAAAGGTCAAAATTAGTACTAAATATCATAAATTAAGACCCACCTGAACTGGGAAATGAGATGTGATAAAGTAGCGCGATGAGAAAATTATCAATCAGTTAATAATGTCAAGAAGTAAAACAGTAACAACATCAGCAAACGCCTTCTCCACATAAATAAATTGGCTCCTAAAGTAAATAAAGCTCAAACGTTATTTTACGTAATATTTTTATTCACAATTGTTTTTGTAATAGAAGATATACTCACTACGTTTGGTTTTTGGTACGAACCCCGAGGCATAGCAAAGGTGCGCTAAACACGCTTACAATTTCCGTTGACAGTATTGGATTCCAATTTGATAGGGTCACCACCTATATTTTATGTCAGTTTATTGAACACAATTCCAGCTCTGGAATGATGCTTAAGTTCAAAAACTTTATCCCTTCCGATAACTGGTGCTAGATGATGAATGATGGGAAATGTACACTATGGAATAATTTAATTTTACATTGAATGTGATACATATAAAACACCAGCTGTGCCCTGCCATGCTTCGCTGGTCGATATTATGCTTCTACTGATGAGAAATAAGAAATAAATGTGACATGAAAAATGGATAAAAACCTTCTTTGAAGCGTCTTGTACATCGTGTGAAAATTTGAGCTCGATCGGTGCAGAACTTTTTGAGTATTTGTATACCCAAACTAACGTAACTTTTTTTTTAAATTTTTGTAACTTTTTTTGTTACGTTTTTTTAAACAATTCTTTGCAACGCGAAATATTACTGTAGAATTGTGGAATAGAATTCGAAGACACAAGACTCTACGTCGACAAATGTTAATGAAACCAGTTGGTTGCTCTGTTACAATATGATACATACAAAATTCTTTGTAAACTGTAGAAATAGTGACATGATAAAAAAAAGACTCATAATAGGCTGCCTTACTGCCCTTTGGTAGTGATTTAGATTGCTAATATTTTGTTAAATTTTAGCAAATATACATTTACGGGAACATGAACAGCTTCAAACTGGGTTACTGGTTAAGTCGACCTAGATACGTTAAGGGGTTGTAGTAGCCATTATTACTAATAGATTTCACTATGAGATACCAAATCCCAATATTCATTTCAAGATACTGGATTTTTAAGATTTTTCTAAAAACTACCGAAATTTTGCCTAATAGTTTTTTTTTTATAATTTTATCCTCTTTTGTGTCGCTGATACATTGTTTTGTAATATCCATTACCAAAATTGTAGTTAATTTAAGAAACTGGCCCGAAGTAGATGGTCGATAATAGCAAACTAAAATGAATTTGTAATATTTATTTTATTTGAGCAATATTAAATAAAGTATGGAAGTTAAGTTGCAGATATGTTAAAAAACATGCACGAATTGTCAGCTTTCTAATAAGATATATTAGTCTAGGATAGAATCAAAATTAATAGAATAAAACTTGGATGAATGACCTTGAGCACTAAGAATTAGCGTATAACACGGTGGTACCTATTAAAAACCAATGCTCGTATTTTTAGACTGTTTCCTTTTCTATTCGTGACTAACTATTGCCAACTGGACCTTTATTTATGCTTCGGATACTATTAGAGATGGTGACCTGTAGTATATAGTGAGGAATATGCTGATATTCAAATTTTTACGGGTACTTTCAATGCGTATCTGCATGAGCCAGTGTAAATTGTAGTTAGGAGTAAACACAACATCTAGTAAATAAATATTATCAACGCTTGTTCTATTTAAAACAACAATTCTAATAAATGGAAAGTTCTTATTTGCCTATATGCTTACTTAAATACAAAATAATTCTTAGAATTCGTGAATTACGAAATGAGTTTGTTAACAATGAGAGTACAACATAATAATTTTATAAAAAGCAACACATATCAGTCCCTCCAAGTAGAGAAAATACATAATATCCAGAAATCTGTCTAAAATGAGACCTGTACTTAGTGAGTTATTAACGAAGCTTCTAGATGTCACATATTACATTATAAGAGTAAGGAATATAATATGTAAATTGGCGACTAAGTGGCGCTCTTAATTGTATTAGAAAGCTCTGAGTGGAAGCCTTATAAAGGAAGCATATGTGCAGGGTGGTGTGGCACACGCGTCGCTAAACGCCATATTCGGTATGAGTCACCAGGTGTCGACACAGCTGACGAATGCTGACTGCGCAGGCACACATGTCGGAGTGTGCCAGCCGCGTGCCGCATACTTAGCTCCGCCCTCGTCACTAATTACATTTTATTAGCTTCCTTTGATTTTTTAACTATCTTCTGTGCAGGTACCTATATTTAAGCTGAAATGTGACACTTATTGCAAAAGTTATATCCCAAAAATATTTTATTTTTATTAATCATACTTTTTGTTCATTCACAGACTGATCCAGATTAGGTAAGTACACACAGACATAAATTGTTTAGATAATTAGAAAATTTATATATATATATATCAATAATGAATAATATTCAATGGTTTTCTACTGTAAATAACAAAAACTCCTCCTTCTATTTGTCACTGTAAAATGTTAAATACCTGCGCAGATGCTTCATTTATGCAAAAAAATTAAAATCGCCTTAAAATTGGTTTCCAACAAAGTTATGAATGAATATGTCGCGTTCATTGTACGTAACATCCTGTGCTATTGTTGTCGTGTACCTGCCGACCCTTGGGACTGTTATTTCTAATTAGTCGTCTACCTGACGGCGAGTCCGACGTGATCTTAACAAAAAGATGCGTATTGTATAACATTCGAAGCGGTTTACGCGCAGCAGTTGAATGGGCCAGTATTGTTAGTTGCATCTTATGCCGGCGTTCAAAGTAAGGCTCGCCGCGCTAGTGACTCAGGTATTTATGAATGAACGTGACGGGCTAGCGAGTGGGATGATCGGCCGCAGCCAGATCCAGGTAGAGAATTACTCTTTTGGAATTCTTTCCACAGTTCGCGTCGAGTAGGGCTACTCAACTCGGCGGTCGAGGAGCGCCGCAGAGCGGGGCGAGGGGGGTCACAATAGCGCATGCGTCGAGCATTTTTTACCGAGACGAGCAGAGGATTCCTCCCTCTCAGTTGATGTAGAGCCCTCGCGCGTGCATGCCGTGCCGTCATGTACCGCTTGCCAACTTTCTCGAGTAGTGATGTGATACGATACCGACGTATTAACGTGACAAATTATTAAATATTATTTGTAACTATATGTTTAATTTGACTTAAAAACTGAGTGTAACGTTTAGTGAATGATATGTTATAGTGACTGAATATAAATTGGATTGGAATCAAAATGAGGTGGTTTATAGTGACAATGAGTGTGATGGTGTGGGAAACAATATTAGCCGGTATAGCGCCCCCCGGCTCTTGTCCCGCAGTGTGTGCGTGTAAGTGGAAGGGGGGTAAGCAGACTGTTGAGTGCATGGACAGAGCTCTAATTACAGTGCCAGAGCCGGTAGACCCCGCCACGCAAGTATTGGACTTATCCGGGAATAATCTTCAAATACTCCCGCAGGAAGCTTTCGCCCGAACAGGACTAGTTAATCTACAAAGAGTTTATTTACGAAATTGTAATATTGGCCAAATACATGATAGAGCTCTTAAAGGCTTAACGAATTTAGTTGAATTAGATCTGTCCCATAACTTACTAACACAGATACCTTCAACCAGCTTCAAGGATGCACCTTTCCTTAGAGATCTCACATTGGCAACAAATCCAATTTTAAAAGTACATTCTGATGCTTTGAGCAATCTCGGAAGCGTTGTCAAACTAGATTTGTCCAAATGTGATATTAGAGACATAGCCCCAGACGCGTTTAGGAATTTGCGCTCGCTGGAATCTTTAAAACTAAATCATAACAAATTACGTGAACTACCTCTAAGTTCATTGGAGAAAGTAGACAAGCTGCGGGCAATAGATTTATCCGACAATCCTTGGACATGTGACTGTCGCCTACGGGACCTCAAACTGTGGCTAGCTAAACGTAAATTACTATCAACACCTAGTTGCTATGCGCCTCCGCGATTAGCTAATCGACCATTTTCAGAACTACCAATTGAAGAGTTTGCATGCAAACCAGAAATTTTACACGTTAGCCGGCACGTTGAAGCTGCTGTGGGAGAAAATGCTACCATCGCTTGCAGAACTGAAGCTATGCCGAGTGCAACTATAAATTGGTATTGGAATGGGAGACTACTTCAAAATGGAAGTCATTTTAATTCTCATCAAAAAATATACATTTTTGAAGAAGGAGACTCGAAGAAAAAGTCTTCTTTGATATTGACAAATACGCAGGAATCTGACTCAAGTGAGTTTTATTGTGTTGCTGAAAATAAAGGCGGCAACGCTGAAGCTAACTTCACTGTACATGTGACTCAGCAGCCTGTTGGAATGGCTTTAGGAAGCGCGCAGATAGCAAGCCTAGGAGCAGCATTGTTCTTAGTAGTTGTGGTCATTTCCTTAGCCCTCCTCATTACCTTCGTTCGGTTTCGACCGACAGCAACTTGTGAGAGTAAAACACCAAATACAATAGATAGAGTTGTGTCTGGTAATGAAGTACATCCGACGGCCACTGATCGACCTCATGTTGCTGTATTAGCTAACAGACAAGACTCTCAAAATGACCCCAAATGTAACCCTGTCACAAAACCACCGAGAGCTAACGACATCCCTTATACCACAAACCATTATGAGGGAAGAGGGAGTGTGGTAACAGCTAACGGACCCGTCGTTGTATCCCCGACTGTTTCGGGTACTATAGATCCGGATCTAATCAATGATACAAGACCGGATAATGTAGTACGTCCAGGAAGCGGAGAATATGCCCGAGAGGCTTCTGATTCATTATATCCATCGGGACTCTGGGACCAAATGAGAATGAATCAAGCGAGTAACTTGGCCCGGGCTGTTAGTACTGCTATACCAACCTATTACAACGATAGAACGCCGATAATTGAGAACTGCAGTGTAGACGGGTCACAGGAAGAATTAGGGTATACGAGTCGTACTTTTCCCCGTTCACATGCGATTTCCTCAACTAATGTGGCTGGCCCGACAGCAGACGCTCCGTACCCTCCCGACTATGGACTGCCTGTAGGCGGCGCGCGCACTCTCCGTGTATGGCAACGAGCGCCACCAGTGTTGCCCCCCGTGGCTGCCATCAAGCGTGTCCTCACCATTACCAGGCCTTCGGCTGATGACAATTTTCAGGATGGCTGTGCTACTGATGTATAATCTGATATGAAATCAAGTTTATTTACATACCTAGATGACATGTCGAAATTGTAAATTTGTATCTTAAGCTAGAAATCATCTTATACGTAAGGTATGTGTAATTTATACTTGAATATGTTGTTAGTGTAATATTTTTTGTATCATATAATTTATTTAGATAAATAATGGAAAGTTACATTGGATCCGTATGCGAAGGGTCCGCGACTGATTAGTTGAAGAATGTAAGTGTAAATTCAAACGTGATATGGGATGCTATCGTCTATGATCGCCAAATACTTAAATACTGAATATAAATATATCTCGATTGTTAAAATTCAAATAAGATGTTACATGGATATAATAGGAACTTATACAATGTAAGATAATATACACGACCTATCCAAAGATATTGAATTTCCCCCTCAAAGTAATATAATTAAAATATATTACTAATTATGTAATTCACTGAATGTTAATCGATGTACGATAATGAATGTGTAAATTTTGTGTTGAAAAAGAATAAGAGTTTTAGCCGTAAAATGGGAAAAATTAAACAGGCGATTATAAAATGTACTCTTTGTTTAATTTTATATTTTACCTCATTAAACATACACATATAGAATATGCAAATAAAGTAAGGTTTTCTTTAATTGAGTTTAAATTGGTATTTTTTGAGTTATAAGGATGTGTTTGCAGAGACGAAGCGGATATATGTAAAAGAAATACGCTGTAGTTGATACCTATCATGAGATAATACATTAAAAGCGAGTAGTACAAGGCCATCTCAGCTTAATGTCTTATCAATTTAACTTCAAAATTGTTGGTAAACCCATTATCTTACAATCTGGCGCTTTTTCTGTCCAATTCGTTAAAATATAATTAAACCGAGCTATTATAATCTATATACAGGTACAGTATTAATTACATGTAAAACTAGTCACTATAAATACTAAGTGACGATAAAATTTATAACGTCAATCTACTTCCAACATTAAAATTGCCGAATTACTTAGACCTAAAAATGTTCTTACAATTTACAAGTACTTAAGTTTTAGCAAATCATTAAAATTTAGTCGATTGTTAAAACTAAGAATACCTTGCCTTTGGTTCCGTCTAAAAACGCCATAAGTAAATAGCATGCCTGGTTCATTAAAATATTGATAACAGTGATACTTTATCAATTCACAGCAAACAAACAAACTCGCCAACATCTGTTTAGTAAAAAAATCAATAAGAAAATTGATTGACAGGAGAAGTTGGTCTGTCATTACCTACTTTCGACAATGATTCTTTAAATGTTTTGATTGAGATGATTGTTGAGTACACCTTGAACTGTCATTGCAAAGAGTAATGACAGAATAAATGCCATGACAGATTAGCTTTCTTTCTTTTAATAATGACTGGCTGACCCTGCAAACATTGTTTTGCTATTTACATTATTATCATTATTATTTCGCAGTCCCCGACGAACAAAATCGTAATAGGAAAATAACAATTTTACAGGAGCAAATAAAAACTGAATATCTTGAATACTATCAAGACTAAAAAAAAGATTCTTTTATCAAAAATAAGGAAATATTTTTTTGCACTAGATTTTTACTAAATTTTTATCATAAATTTTCTTTATCAGTAAGAAAATTGTGAAAATGTCCATTACTGAAATAAGCTATGGAAAAAATTAACGCAAACTAACTTTACGATAGTGTTCGACTGTAATCACAAATCGGTGTTGCTGTAGTAATCGTTCATTATGATATTGTTCCATGGTAAATATGAATATACTTTATATTCGTAAAATGACATTGCAATCGTATTCGATCATATAACTGACTTTAATATTACGGTAAACATAAATTACATGCTTATTCGATGATCATTTTTAGGTGTTATAAGTGTTATAACCATTTCGGTACCTATGTATAAATTCTGATTCTGATTCTGTCATTTTTCCCTCGAACAATATGGTAATAGCCGCTTACTCTAAAATGTTGACTTTTGAGATTTGGTAATAGGTTTTTGCGTTATTGATCGTGTAAATTTTTCACTTATGTTATACGTTGAACAAAAACATAAAGATCATTATTGAATGGATAAATCCAAAAGTATTCATCGCCCGATCATAAAAAAAAATTCAATGATTGTAATAGGGTGTGTAGATAACGAATATCTAATAAACCCGATTCTATCGTAATTTTTTAAATTTTTTAAAATCCGTTCTTAACTGGCCTCTACTCGGTGAAACGAATATTTCTACCAAATTTCAAGTCTTTAGCTCTAATGGTTCCAGAGATATCGTGATGAATGACTATATACGTAGAAATCTCTTATATATATATAGATTATAAAAAATATCCAGTGCTTCTAATTGAGTATTTTGAAAATTATGCACCGCGATAGCGGCAATTACTCTAAAAGGGTACATTCTATTCAAGTAATACATATATTGATATCTGACATTTTGATAACCCGATGACCCGTGTGAGTTATAACTCACACGGGTCAGATATTATCAGAATGTCATCAAAATCATGCTATATACCTAGGAGTACGAGTCCACTGAAGAATCTATTTATGAAAGATAGATAACTTACAACATGCTTCAATATCTTATTATATAATATCTTATAATAGGTATTGTGCAAATAAACGTGTAAGCATGAAAAAAAACTATTATTTTGACATTACAAACATACACTTCAATTTTATTTATTTGTAAGTATAGATTAAACAGACATTTAATTTCACAAATTCCGGGTGGACTATATACATATAAGATTTTTAAATGTATTTAAAACATTAATATAATTCTGTTAGTTATTCGGTTATATTTCGGTTAAGGTTGGGGCCGGATTTTTAGAAAAATATTATTTAATTTAATAATCATTTAGAATGAGAGTTATGGATAGACGCAGAGATTTATATCTTTCTGGTAATCATAGATATATACTGAAGAATAGCGATTATGTAAATCAAATCTAGCTTCCTGAGAAAGAAACGTACCATCTGACACAAAGGTACCTATATCGTTTTATAATAATAGATGTGAGACAGGATGTTATACCGTGGACCGTATTGTTAATCTTTGTCTCATAAAATATCTACGTGTATATATTTCTCTGCTCATATTAAGGATGGTGTAGGTAGCACGTTCCTGGTATTGTATCACTAAGTTTAAAGAACAATACCAATGCCTCTATTAGCTGAGTGACGTCAGCTCAACGTGTCAAAACGTGTTATCAAAATATCAACTTAGCTTTTTTGCATTTTAGGAAATGACGCAATCTTTAGGTGTAAAGATGTGATGCCTTTGATATACATAATGGAATTTTATTAACTTGATAAAACAATGATGAAATAAAATTGCATTTTTAAAGTAAGTGTCAAAGGCAGGTCAACGTCAACGTGACGTTATGAATATATATCTCAGATCAAATAAAAAAAGAGAGATGGAACTTTGCGAAGAACGAAGTGACGCCGGCTTTGTAAACATGTGTGCGTGGGCCGGCGCTGGCTTCATTATTTTATTTTATTGAAAATATATATATATATGCTTACTTATATAATAAAATATCTATGCTTACTTATGTGAAAATGAAAATTCCATTCTACTATCTATCTCTTGTAGTCTGATTTTACATCCTTTCGCAACACAATTTGGCTTTTTTACTTATAAATATTGGTGACATTTTTACTGACAGAAATAGTTTCGCTGTACGTTTGTGCGTGTAATTGTCTATGTACACGCCAACGCGTTTTAATTGGCCTCATTTATTTCTTCACAGAGTTCCATCTTAACTTATTTATTTGTTCTGAGCTATATATACCTACATGAGCAATATACGTATAGATAAATATTAATTTGGTTTGTGTACGCTTAAAAATTTCAAAAAGTTCTGCACCAATTGAGCTCAAATTTTAACCCGTTTCAAAAGTAATTTTTATCTATTTTTTGCGTTAATTTGGTCCTCATTTCTCATCAATGTAATCACAATGTGCTACAGCGAAACGTGGGACTTAACAGCTAATCTGTGTAATAAATGTTAAGACGGTTTGTGTAAGCTACAAAAAAAAAGTTTTGGACGAGTTTCTATCTCACAACTGTCATAAAAGGTATTTTTGTAGTAAAGTATTAAACATCAAACGTTGACTGTAATGTGATTATATCGTTTTGTAGCAGAAAATTAAATCGGTAATCTGCAAGCAGAAGTAGAAGGCTTCAAAAATTGTTTTTCATGTTAGTGCGTTGTCGCGTTTTTATCTATTCCACATTTCTCATCAATGCATCCACAATGTGCCACAGCTAAGCGTGGCAGGGTACAGCTAGTGTATAATAAATAGTAGAGTGTAAAACATCTTCAAAAGTTATAAGCATTTCACAAGATATTTTAGACAATATTTATTTCTTTTATACATGGAAACATTAAAAATGACACAGTGAATCATCTGAGAGCCAATTACAAGTTTTCACTTCTAGTTTCAAAGTAACAGAAGTACAATTAACATATTTATTAAAAATAAATATGGTAACTATTTCATTGATGTGAACAAATGATTATCTGATTACCTGAATACTTCATACCCCACTTCCATATCTTATGCTCAGTCACGACCGAAATAATATGCTTCTTCTGTGACTCCCTTACACCTCCAACTTCATCAACCCCCTTCTACGTCCAGTCAGTTTTTCTCTGGAATGCGCTGTCTGCCAAAATCAGAATGTCCACAAACCGCCCTGTATTCAAGACAAAAATGCGCGATCTTCTCAGGAGTGAATCGACAGAACAGTTACAATGCTAATACCAGGCTGAGTATTTTTATATCATATTAAATTTATGTATGTTTATGTACATATATTTACTTATGGATATGTTTTTATATATTGTGTATATCGCTTGACTTCAATTATGTTAAATTTAATATTTTAATTTGCACCTACCGCATCATATTTTTACATCACCTGAAGGTTTAAATTCCTTATTGCATTAAGTTCGCCTTTGTACAACATCTGCATTAAGTTTAAA